GTAAACCAAACTGCACGGACACAAAGCAGCGCTTGTCCTCCATAGGAACACGGCTTCTGACGGAAACTCCTTCACACGCTTCAGATGCAGGCCCTCAGCTCTTTCGGAAAGTGGCCAGAAGAAACATCCATTTAAACAATCACTCGGGGCCTTTTGTGAAAGAACAGTGGCAAGCACTGTCCTTTCTGTTACCCAGTGCCCCTCAAACAACAAAGCACACGGCAAACTCGGTGCCAAGAAAAAGTTTTGTCTCCCTGAGTGTGTTCTCCTTTGTCAGAGGAGGACTGTCTAATCACATTTCTTTGTGCCTCGGCTCTTCAAAACTTCAGAGGCAAGTTCAGTGTTCAGATGCAGTCACTCACTCACTCGCCCAAATACCTTGAAATAACTATCCTTTGATTTTTTTAAACGTCCTCTGATCTTGATTTTATTTCTATGTCTCCTGCTTTAAGTTGTGATTCATTTTGCAAGCCAACTTGAATCTTTTTTCCCCTTCAAAAGTAGGACACAAACCCTAAGTAAAAGAGGCTTTTTCTTACCCTCTAAAAAAACAAACAAACAGACAAAAACCACCAAGGTCCTCCAGCTGCTAAAATGCTCTTGGACTTGCCAGGTTAACACAAGAGAACGTGAGAAAGTTCAGAGTTTGGAGCTTCAGCCCCTCATCTACTCAGACAACCAACCCCAAGCAGAGAAGGACAACGACTCAGCTTTTAGGACTCTATGCTCTAGACCAGTGGTCGGCAAACTTGTTAGTCAACAGAGCCAAATATTAACAGGACAACGATTAAATTTCTTTCGAGAGCCAGTTTTTTTAAACTTAAACTATATAGGTAGGTACATTGTTAGTAACTTACTGAGGGTTCTCCTAAGCTGGCCTTTGCTAAAAACTCAAGGGGCCAAAGAGCCACATGTGGCTCGCGAGCTGAGTTTGCCCACCAGGGCTCTATAGACTTTCAGGAGGGGAGCTGGTTCCCAAAACCAAAAAACGTTCCCACATAAGATAACGATACATGAGACAGACTCCACTCCACGTGACAATACTTGGGACAGACTTGATCCAAGGCCGTACTTCTAAGCCATCCTAAGCATTTCTGTGGAAGTCAACGAAACAGGCATTGACTACTGTGCTAGATTCTGTTTTCCAAAGATGACGGCAGCAATCTTCATCAGCCGCATGCCCTTTTGCAATGTGACCTTGCTACTCCCCATGAAGAGATGGGGTCTCTCTCTCTCTACCCCTTTGAACTTGAGCAGATTCGGTGATAGCTTTAACCACACCAGGAAACAGTGTAAGTGACAATGTCAGTCCCAAGGATAGCTTTAAAAAAAATACATACATACATACATACATACACTATATATATGTATATATATAGTGTATGTATGTATGTATTTTTATAGTGTATGTATGTATGTATGTTTAGTGTATGTATGTATGTGTTTTATACATGCATACATACACTATATATAGTGTATGTATGTATGTATGTTTTTATAGTGTATGTATGTATGTATGTATAGTGTATGTATGTATGTATAGTGTATGTATGTGTGTATGTATGTATATTTTTATAGTGTATGTATGTATGTATATAGTGTATGTATGTATGTGTATATATATACACACACACTATATATATATATTATACATATATACACACATACACACACACACACACACACACACTATATATATATATTGATTTCAGAGAGGAAAGAGAAGAGAAACATCATTGATGAGAGAGAATCACTGATTGGCTGCCTCCTGCATACCCCCTACTGGGGATCAAGCCCGCAACCCAGGCATGTGCCCTGACCAGGAATCGAACCATGACCTCCTGGTTCATAGGTCTACACTCAACCACTGAGCCACGCCGGCCGGGCCCGGAAATAGCTCTTTAACTGTCTGGGCACTTCCACTTTCTGCCTCTTGGCAGCCAGCCACCACGTGAGGAGTGAGACTGCCCTGAGAAGACCAGGCTGGGAGAAGCTCAAGCCACGTGAAAGGGACTTGGAGGAGGAGATGCCACATGGAGACGGAGCGGGGCCGGGGAGCACAGGACATGTGCTGCGAGAGCCATCTGGAAGGGAATCCCCAGCCCAGCTGTCCCAGCGGCTGCCATGTGCCTCAGAGACAAATCCCCTCGAGTCCTTCCTCATTCCTGACCCTCAAAACCAGAAGCAAAATAAAATCCATGGTTTTCAGAGGCGGGAAGGGCAGCACCTCACTCACACAGCGGTGGCGGGGATTAACGGTTTAGTGCATGTGAAGCCCTTAGCCCGGTGCCTGGCTGGCAGTAGGTATTCAATAAACGACGATGATGATTTTTAGTATGTCAAGTAGCAACACGAGAGTTTTGTGTAACACCTGCAGAGGGAACCGACTTTCTCAAAAACTCTTGTGATAACATGCCATAGTCACACCGTAACATGACCTATGCCAACAGAGGACTTGGCAGGTCATGCCTTCCTGTCTTTCTTGGGGGCCTCTCAGTTACCTTTACAAGCCCCAAACTGCACCTGGTATGATAGCCAAACACACACACACACACACACGTTTTGTATCTAGAGAGAATCACATGTCAGGCCGGGTCCATGAGTTTCTGGGCAGCTATTCAACGGGGAGGCCCTGGAGAAAGATCGGCAGCTGAACTCGAGCCGGACATGCCTCCTGACAAGTGTCCAAGCAGCTGTGATGGTGGGAGGCTCAGGAACGGGGAAGGGGGAGACTCGGGAGGGAGAAACAAGCAGGATGCCATCGGCTTGTGCCATCCACCCTCCACCCCCTGGCCGCCTACCCGGGTGCAAACGCCTCTGAAAACTCTGAATAGAACATCAATGCTTTCTTGGCAATTCTTGCTTCCTATGCACATACTTCAACTGTGCCCCTGTGTCTGGCCTGGGTTTATCTAGCCAGCCAGCCAGCCAGGCAGCGCTTACAGAGTGCCCGGTACGTGCATGGCACAGGCAGGGAAAAGCACGCAGGTGACACCGCTGCTGGCACTTTGCAGAAAAACGAACAACGGGATCCTCAGGACGATCACGGAGCCGTTCCCCATAAGTCAGTCTCTTTATTGCCTCTCACTTCGGAGAACAGACCCCAACAAATCCCTTCAACTCAAAAGAGCCTGCTCCCTCCCCGAGCCCCCCTCCAGTCCTCCACCAGTGCCTGCGCCCCCAGGTATGCCTGGATCAACGCGGGAGAACTTCAAAGGGGCCCTCAAGTTGGGGAGCAGGCAGCACTTTCAAAAAAAAAGAAAGAAAGAAAGAAAGAAAATCTGCTGGGGCTGTGATTCTGAGTCGGAAGAGGAGGAGGGAAAGCGGGAGAGAGGGAGAGGGGAGCCGAGGGGGCGCGGGGATCTGACAGCACCGCACAGTGCTCCGAGAACCAGCTCCAGAGATGAAAAACCCTGTCTGGGGCTGACAACATCTGTTTTATTTTGAAGGTTGCTAAGGAGAGGTCTAGCCGGGCCAGCATTGTTCCAGCTCAGAACCTCAGAGCGCGTCTCCTGCATGGGGTGCGGGAGGCAGGGAGGAAAGCGTGCCAGGTGAACCCCGCGCCTTTCGCTTTCAGATATCAAAGGATCGCTTTGCTACCGGGGCTGACGGGCGCCCTGCCTGGTCCCGCTCCGAACAGGATGTACCTTCCGCTTACTCGCATCACATCGCCTTTCCCTGCCCCCTCCGTCCTCACTTGCCAAGTCCCCATCTTTGCCAAATAAAGGCTTATGAGGAAGACACAGACCCACGAACCCATAAGGAGATTTCAAACCAAAACCGGTTTGGCTCGGTGGATAGAACGTCAGCCAGCGGACTGAAAGGTCCCAGGTTCGATTCCGGTCAAGGGCATGTACCTTGGTTGCAGGCACATCCCTAGTAGGGGGTATGCAAGAGGCAGCTGATGGATGATTCTCTCTCATCAATGTTTCTAACTCTCTATCCCTCTTTCTTCCTCTCTGTAAAATATCAATAAAAATATATTAAAAGAAAAAAAAAAGATTTCAAGGCAAAGGAAGAGCCAAGAATGAGCTGGGGGTCACACACACACACACACACACACACACACACACACACACGGCAGGAGGGTGTTTAGCATCAGACAAAGGAGGAAGTGACTTCCTGGCCTTCGGAGAAGTTTCGCTCCTGATAATCAGAGCCATGCCCAAGGTGAGGGATGCAGAGCTGGAACACGGGGCAGGGAAGGGTCGGACTGGCACTGGGAGGCCTGCTTCCTTCCATCCCTGTGATGATGGAGGGGGACAGGGAGGCACACGCCACTCCGCCCCACCCCGCCTAGGTTTGCCTGTAATGAATCGCAGGACCGTAACAGAAACCAGGAAGAGTGGGACTTGCAAGGCGGCATTTAGGACAGTAAGAGGTGGGGGAGACAACAGTGGTGGAAAGGCAAGGACATGTCCAAGGTCTTCACATATATGACGAGCCGGTATACATGTGTGGCAAGGCGATCGACAGGTGCCAGCGCACCATGCCTGGGAGAGAGCCCACCGTGCCTGGGAGAGAGCTGGGAAGCAGAAGGGCCCTTCTGGGTAACGGATCCACCTGCAAAGGAAGCAGTTGGTGGTTCCAGGGCGTTCTGTGAAAAAAACACGTGTCCCGTTGGCTGCAGAATCCTCTCTCCTGGCACTCCGCTTCGCCAGGGAGCACCTAGGAGCCGGGGAAGGACGGAAAGCACGCGGGCGGTTACCCCCGCACAACGGTCCATCTCAAAGGGCCATTCAGCAGGCCCGGACCCTGCAGATCTCGACAAAAGGAAACTCTATCCTCTCCACTGAGGCCACATTATCTAAACATGGCCCTTGCCTGCCAGATTCTGTTTCAGCCAGTTTTGCTTTCACGCCTAGCTTGGGACCCATCCAAGCCGCTCATCCTGGTGCCGAGAGAACGCCAAACGAGCACGCCACGCACAGCGCTCTAGCTTAATACCCCGAGGAGGGACGGCCCCAGGGAGGGCAGGAGCCCCCCTCCACACCACTCACCGAGCCAGGTCACATCCACCGCCGCCGGGGCGGACGTGGCTTCTGCCACCTTGTGCCAGCTCCTGTTATGCCCCGGGACCCAGAGCGCCACGTGGCAGGAGTAGTGGCCAGCGTTCTCTTTGCTGACGTCCCGAACCAGCAGATGGTAGGAGCGAGCATCCGCATGGCTCAGCGCGACGTGAGGAGAGCTGTGCACCAGGGAGTCTCGGTCCAGCCGTGCCAGCACACGGGGGCCCGGCGAGGGGCGGTCAGGCGTCCTGCTGAAGTACCACGTCACCTCGGGCCGGACGTCATCTGCCCGGTCCGTGGTGATGTTGCAGCTCAGGTCCAGCTCCTTGCCTTCGGCCACGGACACGTTCCTGCCCACGACGGCTCGCAGAACTGGAAAACGGAAAACAAGCGCATCGCGATCATCTGGATGACGTTTGTCCCTTTCACCTCCCCCATGCCCTCTTCCCCCGTGCCCTTCCCCCCCTACCCTCTTTAGATCATTTCCGTTATTCACGGCATTAAAGTTAGAGGGTTTTGTACTTTTATACAGCTGTAAATGCTGGAGACGTTTTTTAAAAAAATATATTTTATTGATTTTCGAGAGGAAGGGAGAGAGAAATAGAAACATCCATGATGAGAGAGAATCTTTGATCGGCTGCCTTCTGCACTTCCCCCTAACTGGGGATCAAGCCCACAACCCAGGCATGTGCCCTTGGCCAGAATCGAACCTGGGACCCTTCAGTCCGCAGGCCGATGCTCTATCCATTGAGCCACACCAACCAGGGGCTGGAGAAATTTTTCTTAAATAACTCATAAAACACACCACATTTCCTTTTCATTCATTAAAAAAAAAAAAAAATTCATGTACACTTACTGTATGTGAGATACTTTCTGAGTGCTTCATAAATATAAATCTTCAAAGCAACCCTATGAGGTAGTCACTGTTACCATCTCCATTTTACCACTGAGGAAACTGAAGCACAGAGAAGGTAAGGAACTCCCCGAGGTCACACAGCTAATAAGTGGCGAAGTTGAAATTCAAACCCAGGCTGCCTGCCTCCAGGAACTCTGCTTTTAACTGGTACACTGCTGTGTGAATAGAAGTCTGCTGAGCGCCACAAAACTGAAATGATACTTTCTGCATGTGTATGACCAGACCTGGGTGTGTATAGAGATGTGACAGCTCTGTTCGGACTGGTACATATTATTAGTTGGGGGCTGGGCATGGGGGAGTTGGGGCCTAGAGGGAAGGAGTGAGGGTGAAACCATCTTTGGGGTAAAAGACGGGGAGAATCCTAAACAGAAGGACTGGGAGAGTGAAACCAGACCCGACGGCCTCATGAGTCACGTCTTGGAAATGCAACACACGCAGGGCTCCGTGTACCCCATGAGACATACCTCCTGGAAGTTACGCGTAAAGCATGCATTTTCAAACTAAAACAATGGCTTTGGGGTTACCCAGGCCGCCGCCCTCCCTCCTCCGCGTGGACGATGAAAAGCAGCCTATGTTTAGGGGAAGCACTGGCGGCGGGCTGGAGGCAGCTCTGGTTTCAGCATTCCCCCGCCACAGCTTTTTACATGGAAACGCTTTGCTGTATTTAGGGGGCTTTTGAAAAGGAGTTGAACATCTGTAATCAGAGTAGAAAAACATTCAACTCGTGGTAACACTGTGGGAACAGCTGCTTAGATGATCCATAGCCAATAGCTCCCAGGGGATGTGGGGTGGGGGGTTGGGGGGGTGGGGAGGCAGGAAGCACAGGCTCAGCCCTGGTCCTCTAGCCAGAGACTCGAAGCTCCAACCGCTGTCAGAGGCGGCTCACTGACCGAGGCCGGTGCCAGTTCCAATAAGGCCAGCCCCCCCAGCCCGTGCCCTCTGGAGGGAAGTGCTTTCCTGTGAATATTTCCAAAGCCTGACAACATTTCTAACGGGGGTTTCAGGCCAAGTTCAAGACCCACCTTGATGAAGACAGAAAATGAGGTGGCCACAGGAATTAGAAAAAGGAATTTCAGCCTCGTGTCTCTCCTCCACCCTCCAAGGTCTTCCTCCTCTTGAGGTAGGTCCTTTTATAGGAGCCACATGTAATTTGAGCGTGTCTTTCTTTTCATTTTTAAAAATATATATTTTTATTGATTTCAGAGAGGAAGGAAGGAGGAGAGAGACAGAAACATTGATGGTGTGAGAGAATCATTGACTGGCTGCCTCCTGCACACCCTCCACTGGGGCTGGAGCCCACAACCCGGGCACGTGCCCTGACTGGGAACTGAATGGCGACCTCCTGGTAGCCATGCCAGCCAGACTAGGATCAGTCTTCAGAGGAGTCAGTATGCTGCCCTGAGTCTGTGCGGTGGTTTGAACCACCCACGTACGACTGTGGTCAGAGACCCCCGGATACTGCTGAGCCCTGCGGCGGCCACCAGGGGCTGGAGGCAGACGACAGCTCAGGAGGGAGCTGGGGGGCGTGGAAAAGCAGTCAGCATGGCTGCAGGCTGTCTGCACGGAGTCCACGGTGTTAGGCTCCGCAGTGGCCGGATGCCTCTTCCACTGTACAGTTCTCTGTGCCAAGGTCCCTGCAAGTGGCCAATGCCTTGGCACACCGCAAACCATCATTCCCACATGTTCTGGATTGGGGGAAAGGGGGTCCCCTGTGGGAAACAGGAAGGATTCAGGCTGGAGCAAAAGGAAGCAAGCAGATCTGAGGACTCTTGTAACGCAAGAGGGGACTGGTCACACGGTGGGGGACACGGTCGCCCAGGAGGCACAGCCCATTGCCCCAGGAGCTTTGCGCTGTTTATCGTAGCAATTCAGGAAGAAGCCGCGTGGATGGTACAGGTGCTGACAACGAGAGAGAGAAAGAGAGAGAGAGAGAGAGAGCGCGAGCGCGCAGCATCCAGAGCAGGTCTGAACCTGGGCTCCCCAAAGGGAGTCCGTGATGGATGAATGAGAAAAAATTCCTTTCCGTTTTCCTACCTGAAGTATAGCCTCTCCTCTCATGATGAGACTAAACAACAACCCAGCCGAAACTGGTTTGGCTCCGTGGATAGAGCGTCGGCCTGTGGACTGAAAGGTCCCGGGTTCGATTCCGGTCAAGGGCATGCACCTTGGTTGCGGGCACATCCCCAGTAAGGGGTGTGCAAGAGGCAGCTGGTCGATGTTTCTCTCTCGTCGATGTTTCTAACTCTCCATCCCTCTCTCTTCCTCTCTGTAAAAAGTCAATAAAATAAAATAAATAATTAAAAAAAAAAATGTCTCTCTATTTTCCTACCTGAACTAGAGCCTCTCCTCTCATGATGAGACTAAGCTACCACCCAGCGCAGCGCTATCTAGTTCTTACACCGTCCCTGGCCGGAGAGTAAGAGCAAGTCTGCATCACCTGTTCCCAGACGCTCACCCGTCGGCTGGATCACCACGGTGGCCACGTCCACGGCCTTTTCTTGGATCTCTTGCCAGGCGCCCTGCTCCTCAATCCACTCGCTGACCACGCAGCGGTAGGCGCCCTGGTCGGCAGCCAGGGCCCGGCCCACGGACAGGCGGTAGCCGTCGCTCCCCACGGTGTCCAGGCGCACGTCGCCGCCGTGGTAGCGCTGCTCGTAGCCGGGGCCGGGGTGCAGGCGGCCCTCGCGGGTGAGCGCCAGGACGCGCTGCCGGGCGCCGCCGTGCCGGAGCTCCCACTGCAGCGCCAGGTGCGTGTGCAGCGGGGACGCCGTGGCCGCCTCGCAGCGCAGCTCCAGGGGCTCCCCCAGGCGCAGGCTCAGGCTCCGGCCGGGGCCCGGGGGGGACGGCGGGACGGCAGCCACGTGCAAGGCATCGGCCAGCACTGGAGGGGGAGGGACAGACCGTCAGCAGAGCCCCTGAGCCCCCGTCCAGCAAGCACCAGCCCCCCGCTCTAGCCTTGAGCCCACCAGCCGGGCTGACCACGGACAGCTTCCTCCTCCCCTGCCCTGTGCTGATGCCCAGATGGGCACGTTTCCCCCGCTGTCATTCATCTGTCATCTTACCTGACTTTCTCACTTGAAAATAAAAGAGGGCTACTAAGACCCCCTGGTAGTATGGATGGGTGTGTGTGTGTGTGTGTGTGTGTGTGTGTGAGAGAGAGAGAGAGAGAGAGAGAAAACTCCCTTTGGGAGTTAAGACCTTGGGAACGGACCTGCTTCTGCTTCCCTTAAACCAGTGGTCGGCAAACTGCAGCTCACGAGCCACATGCAGCTTTTTGGCCCCTTGAGTTTTTAGCAAAAGGCCAGCTTAGGAGGACCCCTAATTAAGTTACTAACAATGTGCCTACCTATATAGTTTAAGTTTAAAAGATTTGGCTCTCAAAAGGAATGTCAATCGTTGTCCCGTTGATATTTGGCTCTGTGGACTCATGAGTTTGCCGACCACTCCCTTAAACAACCCTTTACCCGCTCTGTGCCTTCGCTTCCTCATCTCTGAGGAGGGATGGCAGGTGGACCTATCTCAGGAAGCTGAAGGGAAAGCGCCCTGGACTCCAACAGCGTGATTCCCCCCAGAGGGAGGCTGGGCAGGAGCGCCCTGGGCCTGGCACTGCCTGCGAGTGAGCAGAGTGAGCAGAGCTTCGCAGGGCGAGAACCTGCCAAGGCAAACAGACACCTCAGCTCTCTGCGTGCGCTCTTGGGGCCCTCCCATCGGGAAAGGGGCCCGGCTCTTCTACAAGGAAGTGCGGTCAGTGCCTTTGGAAGGAACTGAGGGGGGGGGGGGATTCAGAGAGGGGCCTCTTCCCAGGGACAGGGACAATCCCCGAGGCCTGTCTAGGAGCTGGATGAGAGAATGCTCGCACACGACGACTCATCATCTCTGGTTTTCGCCACCGTCTCACACCCAGAAACTAACATGGTCTCTTTGAGAAGGGCTGCTCAGGAAAACAGGATAAAACTGACATATTTAGAAAGACCCATCCCTGCTACAAAAACGAATGTAATGACCTTCTAGGGTATACACCCGTCTGAGATTCCGGCTAATGGGACTCAGTCCCGGAGGCCAGTTTTCCCTGACACAGATGAACACGTTTCAAGACCCAAGAGGCTGGCAGCCAGGCCGATTCTGGACCACGTATGGCAGGTGCCAGGGGCTCCCCCGGGGCGGCCAACCAGCCTCTGTCGTAGGCCGTCCCTCTGCTTTCAGTGACGAGGGGAAGCCAGGGCGCATCTGACCTAATGGAGAGGTAGCATGTGCCAAAAGCAACGCATTCGTGAGCTACAATGCGAGAATGCCTTATGGGACATTTTTTCTAAAAATCGTATTTAGGATTTTCTACAGGAAAAAGGAAGAGGTAGATTTGATGTTTTAATACCTTCATCATGGACAGGGCTGTTTTATCCCCTCAGGAGTCAAATGGGGGACAGTTTCTGAGATATGGTAGGGTTCTACAAATCCTTACGGGAGGGAATCAAGCCCTCTTGTTATGTCAACATCTAGCACTTTCTTATGTCAATATCTTCCACTTTTTTAATTGTTAAATACACTCCTGCCCTGATATCAGTTCTTTCTGGAACAAGGCAGGGTACAAATAAATGCATAATTAATACAAAATAACAACAATAATGTTTCTATTTGGCTAGCCCCAAATTAAAATTGTTTGTTTTTGCCCATTTACTAATTAGCTGTGGGATTTTAAGGAAGTAATTACTAACCTCTGCTCTCCCATTTCCTCATGTGTAAATTCAGGAAATAGCCTGTCCTACCTTCTTCGTTGAATTCAGAGAACTGAATGTGTGAGTAAATCTAACAGGGGGGGGAAAAAAAAAACACAAAAACATTCCTGAACCCTGCCAATGAGGCCCAGTGACTGAGCACTGACCCGTGAACCAGAAGGACACGGTTCAATTCCTGGGTCGCAGGCTCCATCCTCAGTAGGGGGCCTGCGGCAGGCAGCCAATTAATGATTCTCTCTCATCATTGATGCTTCTGTCTCTCTCTCCCTTCCTCTCTCTGAAATCAATAAAAATGTAATTAAAAAAGGAAAAAATATCACGTAGAAAAAAAAACAACATTGCCAATACACAAGGTGTGATGAGCTGCATGCACAGCCAGGCCAATCAGCTTGCCGTGCCCATCATAAGCGAGCAGTGACCACATCCCTCTTTCTCGACATAGAACCCATACGAGTTCAAGAACGAACAGGTGCTTCCGGGCACACGGGAGGACACGAGCTTTGCAGTATCTGTTGTTCCCATCAGGCCAAATAGTATCATCACAGCCATCAGCTTCTCGTCGCCAGCCTTCACCGAATGCTAACTGTGGCACCGCACGGCGGCTTTCCCCGTGCCATCTCCCTGTCTTCGCCTCCTCTGAGGAAGGCACTGTGACAGAGAAGGAAGCCAGTCCACCCACCCCTGCCACACAGCTGACAAGTGGCAGAGCCGGTAAGTGACCCACAGAGTGCAGGCAACCTGGCTCAGGGCTGCGCTCCCTACCACCTGGCCCCCCTGCCTCTGACTCAGTGACAAGGGGAAGCCAGGGCGCATCTGACCTAATGGAGAGGTAGCATGTGCCAAAATGTTAGCTGCAATGCAAGAATGCCTTATGGGACATTTTTTCTAAAAATTGTATTTAGGATTTTCTACAGCCAGGGGAGGGCCCCAAATCACAGTGAAGGGAAAGGACCCTGCCTTGCCTGCAATCAGATAAGATGCTGCCACTCATTAGGGGAGGAAGCAGGGTCCCGGAGGTGTTCCGCTGCTGGACAAAGTCACCCATGGCCATGTGGCAGGGGCGAGTGTAGCCACTGGCGTGGTGACCCCCCTTAGAGGATGTACCTTTCACCTGCACCGTATCCTCATAGTTGCCCTGGACGGTGGCGTCCGTGCTGGGGGTGGAGCACTTGTAGTGGCCCTGGTCCGAGGGCTGGACGTTCCTGACGTGGAGCTCCACGGCGTCGTTGGCGGTGCGCCTCAGGAGGATGTCCCCCCGCTGCAGGCGCTCCCGGTACGCCTGCGCCCCGAAGCCCACCTCCCAGGTGCTGGCCAGCTCCACGAAGCTGCTCCCCGAGGGCGAGAAGCTCCAGTCGAAGTTCTGCTCGCTGGGGCCGTCGTAGTCGCTGACGTTGCAGGGGATGACCAGCTCGGTGCCCACCACGCGCACCAGGCTCCCGGCAGGGACCCTCACCACGCGCCCTCGACAAAGACCTGCGGGGACGAGAGGAGAGAGGCCGGGCTTGGATGCGGCCGGGCTTTCCTGCTGGCACACCTGCGGGCCCTGCTGCTGGCGGGCATGTGGCAGAGCGGTGACGCCTGGACAGCTGGGGGAAACGGGGCCCTGTCTGTGTCCGTACAGAAGGAGCCAGGATGCCTAAACTGGTTTGGCTCAGTGGATAGAGCGTCAGCCTGGGGACTTGAGGGTCCCAGGTTCGATTCTGGTCAAGGGGATGTACCTTGGTGGCGGGCACATCCCCAGTAGGGGGTGTGCAGGAGGCAGCTGGTCGATGTTTCTCTCTCATTGATGTTTCTAGCTCTCTATCCTTCTCCCTTCCTCTCTGTAAAAAATCAATAAAATATATTTAAACAAAAAAAAAAAAAAAGGAGGAGGAGGAAGAGGAGGAGGAGGAGGAGTTGCCTAGGATGGCCAGGGAGGAAGACAAGTATTTAAAGTGGGCGGGCCACAGATCTGAATAGCGGCGTCTTCCCTCCCGTTACTATGTAACATGCCATCATTCCCGCTCCCCGGGGTGCGGACACGGCGTAGGTTTTGTGGGAGAGACAAGGACACAGCTAATCAAGTATTTACACTTGTGCCCGCCCCTGTGTCAGCCCTGGTCCCCGGAGACCATTCCCCGGGGCTCCGGGGACTGACTGGCATTGATGGATGTCAATTTTTAAATCCTACACCAGCCTGCTGATAAAATGACTTAACTCCGATGATCTGACATGGCCTATAAATTAATTTTAAAATATGACAACTCTACCAAGTATTAATTTTCTATTTTCTGGCTCATTTCCTTCTCCCTACTCTTCACCAAAAGCAGAATGAGGATAGGAAAACACACAGGGGGAGAGAGAAGAGGAGGGAGGGGGCTCGTTGGCTGGTTGCTGGGCTGGGTGTAGTTAGGAACGCAGCCACTCGCCGGGGACAAGCCGGGGACAAAGCCACAAGTTCTCGGGCATTCCTGCGTGACCTCTGAAACGTCTTCATGGCAGGGAAATCCGGCACGATTCCAGACTGCATGTACCACCTGCGTTTGGCACTGAGGCCCAGACCAAAGGAGAGCGCGTGACTCCTTCTGGATGCTCTGTGAATGAGACATGGGAGGGAGCATGGGCTCTGAGGTCAAGGAGACCCACGTTCACATCTGGGAGACCTCTCAGCCCGGCCTTCCCTCTGAAATGGGGCACGGAGGACGCCCCGAGTCCGGGAGATGAAATAGCTCGCTGAGGGGCCCGCCATGCAAGCAGAGCTCGACAGCATGGGGACTACCCAGCAGCAAAGCCACCATCGCCACAGTTCACAAGGGAACCATGTCTCTCTCCCTCTCTCTTTTTTTAAAAAAATGTATTTTATTGATTTTTTACAGAGAGGAAGGGAGAGGGATAGAGAACTAGAAACATCGATGAGAGAGAAACATCTATCAGCTGCCTCCTGCACACCCTCCACTGGGGATGTGCCCGCAACCAAGGTACATGCCCTTAACCAGAATCGAACCTGGGACCCTTTAGTCCGCAGACTCCATCCACTGAGCCAAACCGGTTGGGGCACTATCTTTATTCCTAGTGACTGCAGCTGGGGAGACGGATCCAGCTCCTGTGTCTCCATCCTGCCTCCCCACGGCTGCCATACCACTTGCCTGGCCAAGAGTCTTCAGGGCTCCTTACACCTACAAGACACAACCCACCTTTCAGATGTCCCCACTGCCATCCCCCTCGTCACACATACTGCCAACAGCCTCCCAACTGGTCTCCTGGTTAACGTTATGTGGCGTCATTCCTCTGCTCAAAACATTCCAATCATTCCCATTTCAATCAGATACGTGGGAATTCTCCCAGAGGCCGTCCAAACAAAACCTCACAACATCTGGCTGCCCTGGAACCCCCTGCTCCTCCCCCTCTGGCTCCCACCACTGTATTTCAGCCCTGCACTCCTCCTACGGTTTCTTGCACAAAGCAGGCCTGCTGCAACCTCGGGGCTTTTGCATGGCTCCTCTCTCTCTCTCTCTCTCTCTCTCTCTCTCTCTCTCTCTCACTTTCTCGCTCTCAGCTTCTTCACCAGCTTCAGATCTTAATTCCAGTGTCACCTTCGTAGGAAGCCCCACCCCATTCTTCCTCCTTCCAAATGTCCTTCTTCTCACTTATCACTATTACACTTTATGTACGTTTATATATCTTCACTATGACTTACAGTCTGTCTCCTCCCACTGCAAGGTAAGTTCCAACCTGTTTTGTTCACTGCTGAATGAATGCCAGAGCCTACTCCAGGGCTTGGTACATAATAGTTGTTCAATAAATATTTGCAAAACGAGTAGCTGCATGAAAGACATACAACATCATGCATGGTCTGGCCCATGGCTAGCACTCTGGCTTCTTCTCCAACCATTCTCCTCTCCTGCCCCATAATGTTTATACTCCAACGAAACAAATGACCCTTCTTTTTCTGGAAACACTGTGCTCGTGTGCCCTGTGGCATCTGCCTCGGTGCCTTTGTCAGCAATCCCTCAGCCTCTTGCAAGAAGCAGCACTAGCACCACCTCCTCTGTGAAGCCTCCCATCATCCCTCCCATTTCCCATCTCCCATCGCTCCTTCCTCCACGTCCCGGCTCAACCCGTGACAGTACCTCCGACGCTGCCTCTGTGATCGTGCAGCTGAGAAAAGTGAAGTAGATATGAACAGATGATTGAAAGATCAAGTTCTGATCTGAAAACATATAAACCCGAGCTGTGTCTTGCATGCAGAACTCAGCTGTCCCCTCAGCCACACAAATCAAGATTTTAAATTCTGGTAACAGAATTTCAACTCGCTACAAGCAATCTGGTATTCAGCAGATTTCCTTTAATAGTGTTAAGTAACAGCTAATAATATTTTAAAATAAATATAAACGGTAAAAAAAAAAAAAATAAAGCAGATGGCTTTTTTTCCCAATCAAAAAAAAAAAAAAATCTGCATAGCTGCATATTGCCAATTTTTGTCAAAATCTCTTTTAGCAGCTGATAACTGAGGAGAAAAGAATAAAACTTTGCTCTGGTTTTCGCCGAGGCCGGTTTGGCTCAGTGGACAAAGCGTCGACCTGCGGACCGAAGGGTCCCAGGTTCGATTCCGGTCAAGGGCATGTACCTGGGTTGCAGGCACATCCCCAGTAGGGGGTGTGCAAGAGGCAGCTGGTCGATGTTTCTCTCTCATCAATGGTTCTAGCTCTCTATCCCTCTCCCTTCCTCTCTGTAAAAAAAATCAATAAAATATATATTAAAAAAATAAATAAAATAAAATGTGACATCAACAGCACAAAAAGTGAGGGAAAGAGTGGAATAAATAGGGCCACTGGTAGACACTAAGCCCACAAAACATGTTCTAATCCCTAGAATAACCATGAAAATGACAGAATGGATAATAAATAAACTAACAGAGGGCAGAGGGGGATGATAAAAAACAAACAAACAAAAAAAACACACACACACACAAAAAAAACTTGATTAATCCAAGAATCCATTTCAGCTAAAAATCATGTAAGCTCTTAAGTCCTTATTTAGTAATGTGTTCACTTTGACTCATTGTCAAATATCTGTCAACGATAAGACTGGAATACTAATATACTGCATCTCCCTTACATGCCACGCACAGAGGCAGCAACTATTCATAATTCATCGTAATGAATCCACAGAACAGAACTGTAAGGTAGGTGCTAGGACGCCACCTTTACCATAGAACTGAGGGAACCGAGGACTGGAACGGAGACTCAGGGAAGTTAATCGACTTGCTGGAGGTCATAACAGCTATTAAGTACGGAGCCTACACCCAACTTTCTCTGGCCTGTCTACACACCGCACACGCCTTCCCCTGTACTGCGGACATCAGCACCTCTTGTGAATAGTGTCTTTGCTCTGGGGAGGAAGAAGAAAGCTTGAGATTCCCTATAAAATCTTTCCAATTCTCCAAGGGCCATGGAACCACATCGGCTGCAGAGTGACAGAAATGAGTTACTAAGAGAAGAAGTACATAATTCTCAAGATGAAGTAGGTAGACGAGAGAAATAGAGACGTAGGATTGTTAAAAATACCTTCCAGGTTCCTCAATACCCGCCCCCCCATACTAAGTGAGTCTAACTCTAACATCTCACACTTTCATATGCAAAACAGGTAAAGGGAACTTTATTCCAGAGCTGAGTAGGAGGCTCTTGGCAGCTGACTTTTCAGCGGTACAGATAATTGATAATCAAGAGGCCACTCCTTCCATATGAACATCTGTCTCCCTTTGAAGTACTCCCGAAGATAATGAAATGCCTCCGCCGTGGAGCGTGGGTGGGGGCAGGCCAGAAAAGGCAGGCACGTTTTCCAAGGTTACCTATTCCTGCAACGTGGCGTTCACTAAGCAGGCAACCGCGAGGCATCCTTAAGAGAAACGAGCTAATAAAGGCTACCCTGAATGTATCTACCCTCTCCCACCCCCTCACGGTATCCAGGGGAAATCGATGTTATTTCTTGGGTTATCACCCACATGATTCTAAATCAAGACGTGCGGAGTCCGGGCCAAGGGTTCTTGCCCACCGCTCAAATGTTATCGCCTCTCGCTGAGCTGCCAACAGCCTGATTTTCCCAATCGGAGCCGTGTGGAAAGATAGGCAGCTTTGAATCCAGGGATTCAGGCAGAGCTGAAATACGGACACGAAAGAGCTCGTGGTATTTCAGCTTGCCGTATAAAAGGAGACCGGAGTCCCCCTGCCGGAAACCTTACCGGGCCTTTAAGAGAGACCGAAGGCCTGTGGATTTCCACAGGGAGCGCCCAGGCCAGGCTGCTGCGAGCTAGAACTGAACACAGTGGTCAACCGTGGACAGCTTTATGGGGCCTTTCTTGGCGTATCTGATTCAACTGATGAAAAACCTTTGTCTCTTCCCGTCTGCCACCGAGAGGCCTGGCAGGGAGGGGCTGTGCCAGCTTCATCGAGACAGTCCCCGAGTGATGAGCATGCAGCAGTGCCCGCTCCGAA